TATTTCGACTCTTATATAAAATCTTGAAATAAAAACTATTTTTATCACAACAACTCATAACTTTGAGTACATTTGAAATAAAACTAAATACAAACTTTGAAATAAAAATATAAAGCATTTGAGTGCATAAAACAAACAGAATATTTAATAATAAAACAATTTGAAAAATTATAAAATCTTGAATGAATAACACAAAATGTTCATTTAAAAACTATTAAATTGTTTATATTTTATAAACTAATAATAGTAATATACATGTAATAGTAATACTATACTAGTAAATATAATTAGGTTTGATAATATATAATAGAAAACCAGGTATTTAATTGGAATCGTTTAACAATAACCTTGAGCATTTGCACTAAACACAGATATCGGGGATAAAACAGGTTTACCAGAAATGCAATAATGTCCTAAAAATCTCCAACATATTTTGCTATGTTTAGTGCATTTTAGTATATTATACAGTATTATATTATGTTATTACAATTGACGCAAACTCTAGTAGTTATAAACAGTGAAACATTGTCACCATCGCAAGTTTCGTAACAAATTTTCATTTATTTTTATGATTTATGAAATCATTTTTTCAAATCCCAGTACCACTCAACTCGTGTGAGTAATTACAGCGATAACGGATTGAAATTTACATGATATCAAGCTATATTTTGTTTGCCTCAGTCGACACACAAGAATATTAACAAGTTACTGTCGTCACGCAAATATAAAGTACTTTCAATTTTATCTGATTTTAGTATTTTAGAGTTCAAATGAATTTTTAAAATATTGTATTTTGTGTAATAATCATATATTAGTTGAAGTCATCCATAACTACCATTTAAAGTGCATTATCTCTGTATTAATGATTTTTTTTCAAGAAATTCACTATAATTTAAACATTGATACAAATGAGTGACAGAGGAGTACCAAAGATCTGTGAAGTTTGCGGCAACAAAGCCCTGGGTATGTCATATATTTTTTAATAAATTATTTTTCTTGATAATTTACTAACTATATACATACAAATTAACATTAAATACTAATTATTATACTAACGAATATGATTTATGATAAATAATCAGGCAAAAACTTCGGCGCCCTATCGTGTGAGCCCTGCAAAGCCTTTTTCCGGAGGAATGCCCTCAAAGAAACGGTAATTATAACTAATAATTAAATAAATTATATACAGTACAGTAGTAATAAATTAAAATATTGTCATTAAATCACAGCTAAAATGTCATTTTAACGGCAACTGTAAGATCGATATAATTACGCGAAAGTTTTGTTCAAAGTGTCGATTAGACAAATGTCTTGCCATCGGAATGAGAAAGGTATTCAAAAACATA